CTTACCTCATCTACTGTCGGTTCACTGCAACAACAAGTCCGAGTTTCAGGCCGACCAGATACGCAAGTACAAGGTCCTGACTATGCTCAAGTATCTAAAACGCCGCAAACGATGATTCGGATTGGCGTTGGAGGATCACCTGTTGGGGGATCAACGGTTACAGATTTTGAAGAATACCTAACATGCTTCGATAACACTGGAGCAGCTTCAAAACTAACAAACCCTGATCAATCTGGGCCTTTATACAGCTCATCCCAAAACACATTTACAGACTGGCAGGTTGTAATTCCTTACGGGGCACACTTAACATCTCTGTATCAGTACATGTGGCAGGGTATTAAAGCAGAAGACATTATCATTACACGCTTGGGAACAATCAATGAAACGAACATTCACATGCAAGACCATACGTTCTTGAATTGTTACTTCCAAAAGATCGTAGAAAGTCATGAGAAAATCATTTTGACTTTCAAGTTCGCAGCGATAATGCTAACTGTCTTTGAATATGGTCAGACGGAAGCTTGTTGGGTCAAACAGAAACTGGATTTGACACAACAACAGGTAAGCTTCTGGTTTAGGAGACTTTATAGATGTCAACATGGGTGGTCGAAGAAAAACGATTTTCAGTTCCTCTCTTTGACCGCCTGTGTAACTATGACTTAATGTCAAGCTCCGAACTGACCCCTTTGCGCACATATAACCGCGCACAAACTTTAAAATCGATTGAGCGGGAAGTTTCCCGCCTTTTAAATACTCGGCGGGATATCGGAATAGAGGCCGGAAAATCCCTTCCAGAAACCATACAAGTTACTGTCCTTGATTATGGTTTTGTTGATTTTGGATCCATTGATACAAAAGAAGACAATCCCTGGCGACGTGTTGTCAGCACACTTAAAGAAGTGATTGAGCGATTTGAACCTCGACTGACCGAAGTTGACGTCGATATTACAGGATTCAGCAAAAATAAGCTTTCTTTGAATCTCAGCATCGCGGGCAGATTAAAGGAAGACCTTGCAGGAAAAAAGGTAAATTTCCCTATTGTGTTGCAAGACGTTTTAGATGGATCAAACGTTTCAGAAGATTCCATCGCATAAATCCATAAATTGAGCTAACTTAGATTCAGAATTAGTTGAATTGAAATAGTCATAGATCGTGCAAAAAAAACTGTTGAAGAGTATAGAGCGTTAGGATTTTTTGAATTGCGTTTTAGGAAAATTGATATTGAGCACCGCAAAATACTTAGGCGTCTTTGAGGAGCGGAAATGAGATTTGACGCTAAAATTGATCAAAAAAATCAACGCCCTATGCTCCCTATTGTGATTATTGGTGGCCCCACTGCCAGCGGAAAGTCCCGGCTTGCGCTAGATATTGCTCTCAAAATGCAAGGTGCCCTCATTAATGCAGACAGCCAACAAATCTATGGTCAATTACCCATTCTCACAGCTGCCCCTACAGAAGAAGAAAAAAGACAAACTCCTCACTTCCTCTATGGCAATTGGGACGATTTCACACAAATATGTTCGGCTTCTTTATGGCGAGAGAAAGCGGTAAAAGCTATTCATCATTGTCATCAAGAAGGTCTCCTTCCCTGTGTTGTTGGGGGAACAGGCTTCTACTTGCAAGCTCTCACAGAAGGGCTATCCCCCATTCCTAATATTCCAAGCCATGTACGCAAGGAGGTCAAGCGATACCATCAAGAATGGGGAGCCGAAAAATTTCATGCCCGTTTGTGTGAACTTGATCCCGAAATTGGAAATCGCCTTCACATTGAGGATACACAACGTTTGATTCGAGCCTTCGAAGTTGTCACCTACACACACATCCCCCTCTCTCAGTGGCAAAAAAAACTTAAAATCATGTCTGAAAAAGATGTGTGGGAATTTTATACGATTATTCTAAAACCTGACCGAAAAAATCTCCATCAACGCGCGGATAAACGCCTAAAATGGATGTTTGACAATGGCGCAATTGAAGAAGTGAGAAATTTCTTCAAAAAAGATCTCCCGGCTAATCATCCTCTCTTAAAAGCTGTCGGTGTTAGAGAAATTTCAAGCTACCTTTCCGGAGAAAGTTTAGAAGAAGCCTTTGAAAAAACAAAGATTCATACGCATCAATATATCAAAAGACAAATGACCTGGTTCAACCATCATTTAAAAGGCTCCTACATTGTTGAAGACCTATATCCAGGGCCAAATTCTTGTGATACTCTAAAGGCAATCTTTAAAGGCTTGCATCAAAGAGGCCTCAAAGTTACAAATAAATAAACCCGGCACCTCAAAGGATCAATTTTCACTCATGTTCTCACGCGTTCTTCGTCTTCTTTCTTCGGATATGGCCATCGACCTTGGCACAGCAAACACCCTTGTACACGTTAAAGGTCAGGGAATTGTCCTTAATGAACCCTCTGTTGTTGCCTTAGCACAACATAAAGGCCGCAAACAAGTTTTGGCTGTTGGGGATGAAGCAAAGCAAATGGTTGGACGCACACCAGGAAATATTCAAGCGATTCGCCCCTTAAAAGAAGGCGTCATCGCAGACTTTGATGTGGCGGAAGAAATGATCAAAAGCTTCATCCACAAAGTCCACAATCGCCGAAGTTTTGTCAGCCCTCAAATCGTTATTTGCGTTCCTTCTGGATCAACAGCTGTCGAACGACGCGCCATTCAAGAATCTGCAGAAAGTGCTGGCGCTGGAAAAGTCTACCTTATTGAAGAACCAATGGCTGCAGCGATTGGTGCAGGTCTTCCTGTCACAGAACCCACAGGATCCATGGTGGTCGATATTGGGGGAGGCACAACAGAAGTTGCTGTTCTTTCTTTAGGGGGTATTGTTTATGCGCGTTCTGTACGTATTGGCGGTGATACTTTAGATACAGCCATCATTCACTACATACGTCGCGCAAATAATCTCCTTATCGGTGAATCAACCGCTGAAAAAATTAAAAAAGAAATTGGCTGTGCGGTTGCTCCTGAAAAAGGTAAAGGCCCCACAATGGAAGTGAAGGGGCGTGACCT